CGGAAGGGGAGGATGATTTGCTTGGCGGTTGGGGGGATCGTGGAGGACCGCCTACGCCCAGTACTGTTTCGAGTTCTACGGTTTCGTGGGGGATGAATGGGAGGGATTATGCGAGAGCGGGAGATGGAGGAGGAGGAGGGGGAGGGACGGTGCCGAGCAGTTATTCGAGTGTTTCGAGCAGTATGCACCCCGGGTTTGGATCGCAGCTGAAGGCAACGATTGCGCCTGATGGGAGGGAGGTTTCAGCTGCTGAGGCTTCGAGGTGGGCGAGCACGGTTAATATACCGGTTACGATGGAGGTCAGCGCTCTGAGCGGAGAAGGAGTTGATGAGGTCTTTGGGAGGCTGGCGAGGATGATCCTGACAAAGATTGAGTTGGGGGAGATTGATCCGGATGATCCGATGAGCGGGATACAGTATGGTGATGCGGGAGCTGCGTGGAATGGGGGAGCGAGTGATGGGGGTAGTATCAAGAGTACGTTGACGGCTGATGACGTGGGGATGGGAGGGAGAAGGAGGAGAGGGAAACAGAAGAGGGGGGTTGGGTTAGGAGGCGGAGGAGGTGCTTTGAGGGAGTGGGAAGAAGTATTTACCTTGACTGGGAGGAGGAGGAATAGGGGTTGTTGTTGAATTTTTTACGTTTTTCTTTTGTTGTTGGCGGGGGAAACCTAATGATACCATGCGAGCGCCTAGGGTGATCAACTCTAATTCTTGATGGATGGATGAATGAATGGATGAACAGCTTGTTGTTATTATTTTCTTGGATGGCATTGTTTGTGGTTTGCTTGAAACTGTATGTACTTGCTTACATGTATTGCATGGAGTTGGGAGAGGAGCGGGCAAGGCACGGTTCGGGCTGGGCTAGACAGCCTGTTGCTTTACTTTTTCGTCTGTTTACTTTGAGCCTGGTAAATCACATACCTTACCGTAGCACCATACCTAATGAGTTATTTCTTACTCAATCTGTTCAGATGAAACGGGTCAGTTGATACCTGCAGCAGCAGCAGTCGGCAGGTAGACGAGACGAGAGCCCACAGCTCCATCCTCTGGGTGGAGCGCTTATAGTCTCATCATGCTTGCAGGTAATATCGTTATCTTTTGTGGAGGACGGCAAGGCGGAGGAAAATACGCAAGGCTGGAGCTTTCCCGAGTTGAGTCCGTCGTGTGTTAGTGAGTAGGGCCATAGAGAGCGAAGGAATGACTTTAGCCTAAAATGGACAACGGAGAGTGTGGCTCCGGGCGCCCAAGGAGCCTCCGTACTCACAAGCAGGGCAGGAGCTTACTATTTTCATGACAGGTGATGATGATAGTTTTGAAGGATCCATTGGGCCGGCGTTATTTGATTTTTTGAAAAGCATTCCGAAGTTCAAGATATTTGATTTTATACGGCCGTATTTGAATGTTGTTGTGATGAGAGAAAGCTTGATAGACAGGTATTGGAGATATAAAGCAACAAGGGTCCACCCTTTCTCCAAAATGTCACCACGAAACAAAAAAGTTGGAGAACCCATGTTAAATCTGAACCCCGAACCCTTCGAAATTCAAAACCCGGGATGCCCTGCAGGTCAACCCCTTGACATGTGGGTGGTGGGGTGTTAACAGGGGGGGCTCCTCCTGAGGCTCCTGCATTCGCGACAGACGATTCGTCCCTTCGGGGTTGCTTCCCCCGCGGTCGTCAACATGGTGAGCGGCAGAGCGAGTTCCTGATGATCTGTTCGAGAGAGGGAAAGGGATACAAAAGGTCTGAGGAATAACCCTCTCCTCATTCCCTGATACCTCCCAGGAGACACAGACACAATTCCCTTACAGTTACCCCGCCAAACAGCTGACCCGCCATCACCACATTCCACCATGGCACCTACGGCGGTCATCAAAACCCCCCTCCACGACAACTGGCAATTCAAGCAAGCCGACAAGGAAGACTCCCAGTTCCTCCCCGTCGCCCAGTTCCCAACGAACGTCCATCTCGACCTGCTTCACCACAACCTCATCCCGGATCCCTTCATCGGCAAGAATGAGCTCAACGTACAATGGGTAGGCGAGGCCCAATGGACTTACAAGACCACCTTCTCCGTCGAGACTCTCCCCCATGATGGCCAAAAAGCCGTCATCGCCTTTGATGGCCTCGACACCTTCGCTACCGTGGTTCTCAACGGCAAGACCATCCTGGAAACAGAAAACATGTTCATCCCCGAAAGAGTGGACGTTACCTCTGTGCTCAAAAAGGAGGAGAACGAGTTGGTCATCACCTTCGACAGCGCCTACCTTCGCGGCTGGAAGCTGGTCGAGAAGTACCCAGAGCACAAGTGGGGCGTGTGGAACGGTGATAACTCCCGGTTGGCCGTCAGGAAAGCTCAGTATCACTGGGGATGGGACTGGGGTCCGGCATTGCTGACTGCTGGTCCGTGGCGGCCTGTCACTCTGGAGATTTACAGCACCAAGATCTCGGATCTCTACTTTGATACTATCGTCCCTGAGGACCTCAAATCTGCGGATATCAAAGCGACTGCGCAGATTGAGGGCTCTGACGACGGCTCCGTCAAAGTGAGGTTTGACCTCTCGCTAGACGGCAAACAGGTTGCTTCCGAGACGGCCGAGGTTTCTTCTGGTAAAGCATCGGTCAACTTCCACCTCGACGACCCGGCCCTCTGGTATCCGATCCGCTACGGCAAACAGCCGCTCTACACACTCACTGCCACCGCCCTCCTCTCTTCTGATACTCAAATCGACTCCGTCACCAAGAAACTAGGCCTTCGCCGCGCAGAACTAGTCCAGCGTCCCCTCCTAGACCAACCGGGCACTTCCTTCTTCTTCCAAGTCAATAATATTCCCCTCTACTGCGGCGGCTCGGACTGGATCCCGGCAGACAATTTCATTCCTCGCATCACGCCTCAAAAATACTACGACTGGATTAAGCTGGTAGCAGACGGCAACCAATTCATGATTCGAGTATGGGGAGGCGGTATTTATGAGGAGCAAGCGTTTTATGACGCCTGTGACGAGTTGGGAATCCTGGTCTGGCAGGATTTCATGTTTGGGTGTGGAAATTATCCCGCTTGGCCTGAACTGCGAGAGTCGATAGAGAGGGAAGCAAGGGAGAATGTCAAGCTGCTGAGGCATCATCCCAGTGTGGTCATTTGGGCGGGTAATAATGAGGACTACCAGTATCAAGAGTCGGCGGGTCTGACGTATGACTATGAGAATAAGGATGCAGAGTCGTGGTTGGAGACTGACTTCCCGGCGAGGTATATCTATGAGAAGATTTTGGCGGATGTTTGTGCTGAGCTTATCCCGTCGACTCAGTACCATCCGGGATCACCATGGGGAGCGGGGAGGGATACGCACGATGCGACTGTTGGTGATATTCACCAGTGGAATGTGTGGCACGGCACTCAGGAAAAGTGGCAGGATTTTGACAAGCTCAGTGGGAGGTTTGTTAGTGAGTTTGGGATGCAGGCTTTCCCTTCTGTCAAGACTATTGAGGCGTATCTGCCCAAGGGGAAGGATGACCCGGACAGGTATCCTCAGTCATCTACTGTCGACTTTCACAACAAGGCGGATGGACACGAACGACGCATTGCGTTGTACTTGGTTGAGAACATGCGGTATGCGCCCGACCCGCTGGAGCAGTTTGTTTATTCCACCCAGTTGATGCAGGCCGAGTGCCTCGCGTCTGCTTACAGGCTGTGGAAGAGACAGTGGAAGGGACCAGGGAGGGAGTACTGCGGCGGTGCGCTCGTCTGGCAGATTAATGACTGCTGGCCTGTGACGAGCTGGTCGATTGCAGACTTTTATCTGAGACCCAAGCACGCGTACTTCACTGTTAAGCGGGAGATGGCGCCTGTCAGCTGCGGCATTACGAGGAAGGTTCACAAGCATCCGAAGGATAAGTACACGCGGGTGAATATTGAGACCAAGACGCAGATTGAGGTTTGGGGCAGCAACTTGACGCTGGAGGATTTGGAAGTTGACGTTTTGCTTAAAGGGTGGGATGTCGAAACGGGAGAAGAAGTGTACAGCAAGAAGGTCGCTGAGAATCTAGTCCTTCCGGAGAACAGGTCGACTGAGGTCATTGCGATGGATGTCCCCGTCAAGGAGAAGGGACAGGAGAATCGGGTGGTGGTTGCGGCGTACCTCGTGGACGTCAAGAGCGGGGAGCAGATTGCGCGGTACGTCAATTGGCCCGAGCCGCTGAAGTATCTGCATCTGCAGAAGCCCAAGGAGCTGAAGGCTGTTCTGAGCGAGGATGGGAAGTTTGTGAAGATCAGCGCCGAGGTGCCCGTCAAGGGCGTTGCGGTTGAGTGTGACGAGGAGGATGATGAGGTGAAATTTGAGGATAACTTGGTTGATATTGTGCCGGGTGAGGTGGTCAAGATTGGGGTTAAGGGGGCCAAGGAGAAAAAGGAGAAGACGAAGTTTGAGACTAGATATTTGGGGATGATTTAGTTTTCCCATTCTTTTTTGGGTTATTATTAGATTTCTATTTTGTATAGTACTTGATGACAATAGAAAGTTCATGACAATGAAATCATGGAATGTCAATGAGTACTGAGATTTTCCGCCTTTAACTGACAATTCGGAAGCCCAAGGGCAAGAAGTATGCAATTGTCATTTTTCACACACACTCCCTAAATCACTTGCCTAATAGCTCTTGTCCTTTGTTGCGGTATGATGGGTCATCATAGCGGGATTGATCGTCTTTTTGAGATTATATTGTACGAAATAGAAGATGGACAGAGGGATCTTGTAGGTTTTACTCTGGTGGTTATTCCTCCTGTCTGAACTGGTTCAAGTTGCGATGGATCCTAAGGACACACACACTCTCTCTCTTTCATGGTCAGACTCTACCTTTGTTATTTTATTCTTCTTGCTCTGTTCCATCTTATTTCATTCTCTTCCGTGTGATTGTTCTCTCGCTCACTTCTTCCCCGTCCAACTGCAAGGACGGACTTTCTGTTACGATGCCCATTCACGGACTGAACTTCAACTTCATCACCTCAAGGCAAGATGGCCGAGCGGTCTAAGGCGCTGTGTTCAGGAATTTAACAGATTCTTAGAATTTCGCAGTCCGAAAGGGCGTGGGTTCGAATCCCACTCTTGTCAAGCGATTACTTTTTGTAACCTTTTGTTGTCAATTTATTTTAATTCAAAGTGGATATGAAGATTGCAACTTTTTTTTTTTTTTTTTTTAGTGGTGAAGTCAAAGCTCGCGCTCCTGGTTGGGTGAGGGTGGGTTGGTGATGCTGATGCTGATGCTGTCATACATGACTTTGATAATGATACCAGTCAAAACCAATTACCAGGTTACCATTCCGAAATCGCAGCTGTCTTCGCCAACTGCCGGGCGATATGCAATGTCACCCTTTTCCATTGATTGTCAAGGCAGCCTTGGGGAGACAGGGCGGGATTTATATTGCCTTCCCGCAGATAAAGGTAGTACAAGTACGGATCAGGCATATATATAGGTTGTACTTGAATATCACGCGCCTGGACCGGCCAACGATAAAAATGGACGGGGGCAATGATGCAGATTGCATTTGAGATGTAACCAGTTTACCAGGTCTTTCTGTCGAATCAGCCCATAATGTCCTCATGATCCTAGCTCAACCCAGATGCTCGGGCACCCGAGTCCAACGTTGCGGCAAAATGTGGCAGTACTCTCAACATCTTTAAAAAAAAAAATCTCTGCCTCTCACCTGACGACACTCGCTGCACCATTGGCTCTAGATCAGGCCGCGATGAATGATGATAATTCCCCTCGCAGCGGATACCGTCGGAAATGCGCTCCCAATTTGATTGGTGCGGGTAAAATGCTGGGTAAACTCTATTGCAGGGTGCGCAAGAGTTTCTTTCGTGGGGTGGTGGTGGGCATTGGTGGGGTTCCTTGGGCTTCTGTAAGTCTTTCAACACCAAAGCTCAAAAAACCAAAACCATGGCGTAATGGGGGGCGTCCATGTGTTCCACTGATGGATGAATTGACTGTGTGATGGATGGATGTCCCCGCATCTCCCCAATTCATCCAACGAACCAATGATCCATTCAGTCCCGTTGATTCCATCCCATCCATCAGGGGAAGGGGGCGAGAAGAGGAGAAACCCCCCTCTCCCCTTGGATATCTCCGACGAGCGGGCAAGGGAGGAGGTAGGTAGGTAGGCAGGTAGCTTGATTGGAGTTGGTATATATTCCAAGTCTTCTCGTCCTCTTCTCTTTCCTCTTCCTTTTCTTCTCTCCTCAACGAGCACCTTCTCCTCTACCACAAGCGCTATACCCTCCTCGTTCGCCCCTCCTGTCACTGTGAAGTCATACTCTCTTTCTATCACCCAACAACAACCAACCATCACAATGACCTCTGTAAGCCTTTCGTCTCACTACAACCCTCCCTTCAGCCAAACACAGCTAACACGGCCTTCCAGAACCTCTCCTTCGTCCTCAACAAGCCCAACGACGTCTCCTTCGAGGAGCGCCCAATCCCCAAGCTCGCTTCCCCCCACGATGTCCTCGTAGCAGTCAACTACACCGGCATCTGCGGCTCTGATGTCCACTACTGGGTCCACGGCGCCATCGGCCACTTTGTCGTCAAGGACCCCATGGTCCTCGGCCACGAGTCCGCCGGCACCGTCGTCGAGGTCGGCTCCGAAGTCAAGACCATCAAGAAGGGCGACCGCATCGCCCTCGAGCCCGGCTACCCCTGCCGCCGCTGCGGCGACTGCCTCTCCGGCAAGTACAACCTCTGCCACCAGATGGTCTTTGCCGCCACTCCTCCCTATGACGGGACCCTCACTGGGTTCTGGGTTGCTCCGCACGACTTCTGCTATAAGCTTCCCGAAAATGTCTCCCTTCAGGAGGGTGCCCTGATCGAGCCTCTCGCCGTTGCGGTGCACATCACCAAGCAGGCTCGCATTCAGCCTGGCAACAGCGTTGTCGTGATGGGTGCTGGCCCCGTTGGTCTTCTCTGCGCTGCTGTCGCCAAGGCTTTTGGTGCCACCAAGGTTGTCTCCGTCGACATCGTCCAGTCCAAGCTTGACTTTGCAAAGGGATATGCTGCAACCCACACCTACCTCTCTCAGCGGGTGTCCCCAGAGGAGAACGCCAAGAGCCTCATCGCCGCTGCTGACCTCGGCAAGGGCGCCGATGTCGTCATTGACGCTTCGGGAGCGGAACCCTCCATCCAGACGTCTCTTCACGTTGTCCGCATGGGCGGTACCTACGTTCAGGGCGGCATGGGAAAGTCAGATATAAACTTTCCCATCATGGCTCTGTGCTTGAAGGAGGTTACCGCTCGTGGTTCGTTCCGTTATGGCAGCGGTGATTACAAGCTTGCTATCGAACTTGTCGCTGCCGGCAAGGTCGACGTCAAGGCGCTTGTGAACGGTGTCGTTGCTTTCAAGGACGCTGAGGAGGCCTTCAAGAAGGTGAAGGAGGGTGAGGTGATCAAGATCTTGATTGCCGGTCCTAACGAGAAGGTTGAGGGTGCGTTGGATACCCACGTTGATGAGGCCAAGTTGAAGGAGGCTCTCAAGAAGGATGATGCGGGGTGCTGCTAAGGCAGCTAATCTGTTGAAGGGTGGAAGGATATGAAAAATAAACAAGGGATGAAATTATTGCATTGTAACGGAGTTTATTGGGGATTGGTTTGGGCTTTTTGGGTTCTCAATTTTGGCGAATGCCTTTTTTCAAAAGTATAGAAATGAAATATAATAAATACCAGTAATAAACCATGTCAATCTTGCGTGTGATGGCGTTCGTTTCTTTATTTTTTATAACCGACAAAACCATAGCTCTAAGCTCTCTTGTTCTAATACTCAACCTCGTCAATCAGCCTGAGTACACCACCAACAAGGTAGAAGCTGCCCGTAGCCAAAGCCTTACAGCTTTTACCCTCTTTTTTCGCTTGGGCAGCCAGTACCCTCACATGCTCAACAGCAGACCCAACATTGGTATACACGCTCGTCTCTACCCGGCTATCAAAAGCCTTCATAGTCTCCTCAGCCTTCCGCTGCGCACTCACATCTCTCTCCTCCCCTTCCTTCGCCCGATTCTCCTCGTTCCTCGTAAAAATAGCATGCGTAAACACACTCCCCCCCTCCCCAAACCCTTTCTTTGCACCATTCAACAAAGCCTTCAACAAAACAGCTGGATCCCTATCCTGCTGGTTGAACACCAACACCGTCAACCCATCCTCTTTGACTCTTCCGGCAAACCACTCCCCAACGCCCGCGAGACTATCCTCCGTATGAGCCCCATCCACACACCACTCAACACTTGCGTCCCTCTTATCATTTACAATCTCACATCTCCCTCTCAACCTCGCCTCCCTCAACCCCTTGACAAACTCCTCCGGTATATCCTTCAATGTCCACTTCCCATCCTCACCAAACACCCCTTCAAACTTGACCCCCTGCCTCAATAAATGCTCCCTGGCAGCATGCACAGCCAATGCCATATTCCCCTTCGCGAACGGTCCCTCCAGGTTCGCATCCTCGACCCCATCCCACTCTCGTACCTCCTCCTCCCCAACCTCCACCAGCTCAGCGGCGCCCTTCTCCCTCGCCCTCTCTCTCAAAACCTCAATGACCGAATTTTGTTTACTCCTCCCCAGCGTGAACCCCTTTCTCTGCGGTTTAAAAATCCCAGCTTTGTGCCACGCAATCTTTTCGACCGTGTCGCCCAGCATGCCCACGTGGTCTATCCCGAGCTGCGTGACCACCGCGCAGCTGACGACATTCTCTCCACCGCTCAAAAAAACAGCATTCGTGGAGTCGTACTCGCCGCCTATGCCGCACTCCACCACCGCGTTCTTGATTCCCTCATCCACAAACATCCGCAGCGCGACAATCGTCAGGAACCGAAAGTAAAACGGTTTCGTCCCCGGTCCTTCGCATTCTTTTTGTGTGAGGCCTTTATCCAGCTTTAGAGCAGACGACGTGAGCGCGTCCCAGACGAGATTGACGTAGCGAGTGAACAACTCCCTGGATACTGGCTTCCCGTCGATGTTTATCCGCTCCCGAACAGAGACTAAGTGCGGAGAAGTATATAATCCCACAGGGGTACCAGCAGAACTGTACTGCTGCAGGATGGAAGCCACGTAAGATGATACTGATCCTTTACCCTTCGTCCCGGCCACATGAACGCATTTAAGCCCTGAAGAAGCGAGGAGTTCGGGAGTTAGTCCCGCGCGGACGCACCAGGCTTGCATCTCGGGGATGGCGAGGGAGTTGATGTCCTTCTTGGAGGGGGCGGGTAGGGAGGTGAAGAGGGAGGTTATGGAGGTGTTTGATTGGAGGGAGGAGAGCCGGGACAGGGCTTGGTCGTATGCTGCTGCTGCTGCTGCTGCTGCTGATGATGATGATAATGATGCCATTTTGAGAGTAGTTGAGAAACAGATAGTCCGTTGATGTGAGGTTGGTTGGTGAAGAAGAAATGTGATGGGTTGACGGCGAGGGAGAATAGCTCTGTGAATGGGGACAATCTTGTTGGAGTGTTTTAGATGCAAGGCTGGTCGTAGCATTTCAGATTTTATCGTTTGAGAATGAGAAGCAAAATGTGAAGATGAGGATCAAGACCGGCGCGGAATGTGACTCCGCTGAGGCCGATGCAATGCGAGAATTCGGCTCCGGTCCGGAGTATCTAAGCGGGCTGTTGAATTTGTTTAGTACTGAACTGTTTGTACATGGCCGATTGCGGATTTGTTTTTTAAGCTTACAATAAAGTTCGAAATTGGGAGGAAAATCTAAACATACAAAATGCTCAATCAGTTGCGGGACAAACGAGTTACGGGCCACTGTCATTCAAGCAATACCACCAAAACTGGATTCAGGGGAACGCAGCCATAAACTCTACCTACAACCAAAAAACAAATTTACAAATACAAACCAAGAGCATCCTAAAAAAACCACCGCTAACCATGTCTATTGACTTTGACTACTTAATACAGCACCTCCGTAGCTTAAAAGAAACTCCATCGCCGTTTTATTTTCCACCAAAAACGGAGGCTGGGAACAAGAAAAGCCACGGTTCTAAAGAGGTCAATGTACAAAGAACAAAGGAAAATGAAAATGTCTTTTATTGCACCACATGCTTCTGTCTTTACTCAACCCTCAAAC